TTAGCAATCATGCCTACTGCTACAGTTTAGAGCTCTTCCTCTAACTTGTCTGATGTTTTCTTTGCACAGAAGAAAAGCATGCAGCAATTTAAATAAAATAATAGCTAGGGAAAATTAGAAGCAAATTGGAAAGCTGTGAAAGGGCAGGTAGACTATTGAGCGTCAGTGTGGTGCAGTGGTTTAAAATGCAGGATTGGGACTCAGGTGATCTGGATTCTAGACCCTTCTCAGCCATGGCACTCACTGGGTAACTCTGGGGCAGTCACAGCCTCTCAGCCCAACCTAGCACATAGGGGTGGTGTTGTAAGAATAAGATGGATAGGAAGAACAGAATTATGCAAGCAGTTCTTTAGAAGGAAAAATGGTGGGGTAGAAATATAAACAATATTGTTATAGTAATTATATTTCTACATTTCAAGACATAAATGGTACACTGAGCTGAATGCACTTTAAAATAAAACTTCTTTCAAGAACTGAACAGCATTCCTCACTAATGGTTTTAGAAACTGTACTCCATATAAAAATCTGATCCAAATAGAACATACAGGACAAAATGAAGAGAGGGGAAAAAGGAGTGAGACATTTATAAAGAATAATACAGAAGATGCAGTAAAAGCAAGTTTTGAACACAAAGGCAGATGAAATTTGATGGTAAAGGGAAATAGGTTCTTACAAAGGCCCTTTAACTAGGTTAAAGACCATGGTGAATTTATAGGAGAGGGTGAAACAAGCAGAAACTGGTTTGCACATAACGCTAAGCCAGGATTATATGTATAAGCTGCCGTAAGTCAGGGCAAAAGTGCAGGAGCATCTGCTACTTTTGGCTCCTGCCGCACAGCCGTAAGAAGGACTTGGGCAGCTGTTAGTTTCAGTTTCACAGAATCCCTGCACAGTGCCATCTGTGAACCACAAGTTGTGAAGCCGAGTTATTAAATTAACCAGAGTTTGATTTAAGCCACAATCTTTGGTTCATACATAACACTAAGCTGGAATTCTATGAAAATAAATGCTGCAGCTATGCAGGGAGATGAGAGGGGACCTTTGCTCAGGCTCGTATTAAACCACAGTTCAGTGCTACATATAAACCAACCCAATGTTTACCTTATCTCACCAGGTGGTCTTAGGTAAGCCAGTGTATCTCAGTTTAAGCCATCGAATTAAAACGCACTAAAACTAGTCTTTAAAAAGTCAAATGAAAAAGAATGCTATTTACTTCCCATGCTGATATTTAGCACCCATTATTAGATGCTATCATACTATTAACCATACTCCGGTGTTCTAGCAGTTTAATTTACAGATGTTTCTAGCATTATTTTGGAGCTTTGCATGTGTAGCTTTCTACATTAAGTACTACAACTTAAAGCCATAAATTCAAACATGACTGGGAAAGCTGAGCTTTGCATGTCATAGCAAATTCATAGTAACTTGAAGAAAGAAGTTCAATTAATAATGCAATGCTTCCCGTAAAAATTGTACCCTTCCGCTTAGGTGACAGTCTAACTTCCAGCCAGTATCTTGATTATGCCATTGACTTCAGTCTATACATTCATGGTGAAAGACAGAGGGCGAAAGGGATGAGATTATGCAGTAACATATACAAGAATAAGGAAACACTAAGAGAGCTGCCTTGTCCACTATCAACAGCTTGGCAAACATTAAGCAAGAGTCAGCCACCAATCAAGCGAGCCTATCTCATTTCCCTTCACACACATAATTCCACCTACACAGATGTATCAATTTTCGTAGTGCAACATATGTACATACACTGCACAAATGCAATGTTTATTTACCACTAAACGCCATGGTTACATGGCCTGCACATTTAGTACAGAAATGCCATAAGAAATACAGATGCCTTTCCTCCCAGAACTGACCTAAGCTTGTTTGGACAGCCTACTGTAAAAACTAAATAGCATGTGTCATTCCAAGGTTAGCCATTTGGACATGCAGGAGACCTCCTTGGACCAGTATTTTCAGACTGGGAAAATAAAACATGGGAACCCCATGTTTTTGGTAGTGACCCTTAAGTAGGTTAATTTCATTGGAAAGCAAAGCATACTAAGGCAACTTTCCACAGCCGTCTTAATCTCCTGGACTGTAGCCTCCAGCCTGCCTGACCAGTGGCCAAGATGGGATTAGACTGACTGATGAGGGTTGATATACCTAAATATATGGAGAGCATTGTAAGGTTTGACTGCATACCAAATACTTTCTATATGGAAAGGGATAAATATCAGAATAAATCTGCATTACTGACCACAGTCTTTAGTTAGATACAAATTCATATGTTCATACATTTAGGATTATGCAATAAAGCTTCCTTGCCACAGAAGAGCTGAATCTCATCACACAGGGAAGTACCCTGCTCCCTTACCACCAATTAATTAAATTTAACATGGAACAATATACCTAGTATAGTAGAAAGTCCCAGCTGAACAGAGCTATTCATAAAGAAACCATGCATGAAAAGCAGACATTCCAGATCCATACACTAATCCACCTAGTTTACTGCTTCCAATGTTCAGTAACTACATATGAAATGTTTAGACATGATGGTTTGCAACAAGAACAAGTACAGTGAGTAAAACAATTTGCTTTTGTGAAAATTCTTTAGATGCTCTGTCTGCATAGCAACCCAAGATTAAACTTTAAATTTCACTTTAGACAAAATCTGATGGGCAATTAATTCAGTTGATTTGTCCCATCTGTGAGGAGAAAAATGAAGGCGAGAAGTAGAACTAAAAGTCAATTTAAGCTCCACCATAAACATGGAAAGCAAACACAAACAACAGACTAAAACTGGGCATCAAATGATATGGATTAAAAAAATGAAAATATTACAAATAAAGTTATCAACACACGCTTTTACTTTTCTCTGCAGCTGGAAAGACTACATACTCCCAACATTCAGACCATTTATAAAGCAGCCTCCTCAATCCGGTGCATTCCAGATATGTGGAAGCACAAATCCCATGGGCCCAGCCTACTTGGTAGCGATCCGAGTTGTAGCCTGATGCATCTGGAGGATACCAGCTTGGATAAATTAGTTGCAGAATAACGAATGCAGCATATAATTCAAGAATATTCACCTTCTCTTATTGCAAGGCACCAGAGACATGGTGCAGGATTTCATTTTATTCAAGCAAAGCAGATTCGACTGAGTGTCATTTGCCCTCATCTCATCTACTCCATGCTTTGAAGATTTTATCTAGAATAATGCGACCGCTTCCAACTTCCAGTACACATAACTCTGACGATTGTAGACAAAACTAAATAACTAACAGTTCAATATAAATTTCCAGAGTTTGGGGAACTCATATGCAGCCCCATTTACTATTTTCTCTGTACTCTTTGATGGGCCGCTTCATACGTTTTTTTTCCAGTGAAGAAGAATTCCACAACAATGCTGAAGTGGGGGGGAAAATTCCCATTTCCTAAGTTCAGAGCTGTAATTAATGCCTATGAGAGAATGCATCTATGCCACAGAAATGCATATTATGCCTCAGTGAGAACTGGAACTCCAACAATCTCAGTGGAAACAGGTAGATGTCAGTGTACTGTGCATCATTTTGGGGTTGCTAACATTGATTAGTGTGTCAACGGTTTTCAGTATCTTGGGATGGGGGGTCTTAAATTGAAACAACTTGCATAAAGTTTGATTTTATATGTATTCCAATAAAAAGTCTCCATAATATAACATTTAGATCATATTAAGTATGCTTAAATCCCCCCCTCAAATATTTCAGGTCAAATACTTGAGTACTGGGACAAAAATATTAACACAGGGTACTTTTCAAAGCTTTGTTTGCCAAATACAACTATAATAAACATGCTAAATAAACACATTCCTGAGCATCCAAAATTGTAGAAAGCAAACCTAAAATTATTCCACTTCAAATCCCCCTAATATACATAGGAACATTTTCAAGAAATCTTACATCACTATATAGAAGAAATAGCCTTGATCTATGAAAACTGATTGTGTTTCCTGCAACATCTAGTAACAAAAAAGCACAACATTGTGTACTCTTTTGTACAACATCTGTGTTTAAAAAGAAAGCAAGTGGCACCTGGCCCATTACTGCTACTGAAAAGTAGAGTTTTACATTTGAATATTAGTAATCATTATGAAGGCTTAAGTAGAAACAACAGTATTTTCATGGTAGAGAAGATATTTCATGAGAATATTACAAGATTTTCAATTGCTTCTTTCTAGATTATGGAAAATTCCTGAAGTTAGTTCCCTTAAAACATTCTCATTGCTTCTCCGGCAGCCTCAGATCACTATCCCTTTTCAGAACAAAATCTTTCCATGTCATGTGATATTTCCCTGTTCAGCTAAAGAAATATTACATAGAAAGGACTGTTGTTCTTCCTTAGAAATAAAACAATTACAATAAACAAACTGCTAAACTAAAGCCCTATACAAAACAATGTTCAAAGAGCCATGTAGAAATACCATGGCACGAAACAAACTGAAAAATAAAACTGATTACAGGAGCAGACACCAATTTATCTGTGTTGTGACTAAAAAAAAGGGGAAAAAAAAAGAATGCAGGTCTTCCGAAGAATGTTTTGCAGCAAGTACAGACTATTTGTCAGCATGCTGCTTGAAAGTGTAGACTATTCACACAGCTAGAGCAAGTGAAGTACGATCTTAAAACCAAGCTGATTCTAATTATGACTGAGCCATTGATTGTGTGAAGATACATCCAGGCCCATCAACATGAGGGCAGCCCTGTACATACAAGGATGGATATTCTTCCAGAGTTAAAATCCAAGCAAAGACCACCAGCCCATTCATACATCCAGGTAATGTGCATAATATGAGCATTTCACAGGTTTTCGTTCAAGCAACAGCCAACAGGTCACCATTAAAAAACTGAGTACCAATGTGGAATAACTTTGCAATCGCCATACATATCCTAACTTCTACTTCTCATTCTGAAACTTCTGGAAAATGTATCTGCACAGCTATGATTTATACTTTTTGTCCTTACCTTGCCTCCCTCTCTTTCAAAGTCAACGTATTCTCGGGTTGGTGCCTGACGCTGCTCCCCCTGCCAGCTGGCCGGAAAAAACTGGAGAGACAGATTGGTTCCTGTGGCCACAAAAGCCTTTTAGAAAAATCAATACAAACAGGATCAGGGAGCAAGACATTACATAAATTATGCAGGCAGTCATTTATTTTTACATCAGTTTATGTCTTAAAGCCAAGCGGCCCAGAGAATACTCAAAGTCAAAAACATGCACTCATCATTTTTCTCAAGTATTAAGTTACAAACATCTGATTTCATTTTGACAACATTTGCCATTGGCTACCTCAGATATAAGTTACAACACAGAATCAATACTTTATTTAAATTGTTCTTGCAGTCATTCTCTTTCACAATGCTACTTGCAAATCTTGTCCTACTTTACTTGCTGGTTTGGATGTTTCAAGGTGTATTTTCTTATAAACAATTGCATAAGAAAGTTGCTGTTTTAAGTGCCGTTTAAGAGTAGAAAAGTCTTAGTTCTGTAGTTTTTCCAATGTGTGAAACAATCTGACATAAAAATTGTGGGCATTTAACTGGAAATATTTGTCAACTTTAAGATGTCTCCATCACTAACAGCAAATGAAGGAACACAATGTACAGCACACAAACTCACTGGAGGAACTCCAGCAGCAGGAAGGAAAATGAATGCAGATACTGAGAGTATTTTTTGATTCAAATGCTTTTCAGTTTCAGCCACCAAGAACATGTATTAACCATTTCTTAGATTCAAGAACCTAGTTTTTATAAACAGATGTTTTTGCTCAAATGGGTTAATAATAGAACATAATTAAAATTTTAAATAAAAACAAGCCACTACAAATTGCCATGTGGCTTATGTAGAGCGTCTTGCATTAGCATTTGACTTTCCACATTTTGTTGGGCAACAACCTGGAAATGAAATGAATTGAAATGGTGCTGTTACCATTTAATGTTCAATCTGAAGGTACCAAATATCTTGACTGGGGCACAACAGTTAAGTATACAAATACTGGCACTTGTTGGTCACATAAGTATTGCTGTGATAAGCTCTGATCCAATCCACTGCTTCCAGGAGGTTTTTGTAGAGCATAGAGCTTATTTCAACAAACATCATGAAGACCAAAGAGCAGTAAGAAAAAAAACTCTGGAATAAACTTGTGCAATGCAACAATTGGGGTTGATTATTAAAACAAAAAAAAATGCAAATTACATATGAAAATTCCCTGCAACACTATTAAATCTATTCTTACAAAATGGAAAGAATATGGCTCATCCATATTCTTTGTCTAGGGTGAGGAGAGTGTTAGTCACAAAGGCCACCAAAGGGTCGATGGCAATTCTGAAGGAGCTGATATGGGAGACACCATCCATGGCACCAAAATACTCCCCAAAGCTGAGATTCATGGAAGAATCTGATGAGACCAACACTGAATGTTTGGCTTCATTGCAAAACACTGCAGTGCTCATTGCCCTAAGCACACAATCCTCACAGTGAAGCATTGTGTTGTGGATCAAGATTTTGAAGAAGGACTCGAAGAAAATAATGAATCCTCTAGACTACATTAGAGCAGCTATCTTAAAATTGGGTGTACTTCTGATGGTGCATAATGTTTTTCCATCCATTATTTTCCTCCATCTTCTACTTACCAAATATGGTCACCAAATAAAGGAACCGATTTCCCAATAAGAGGTCACTGTAAGAACTCACAGTTTACATTTAAATATCAGCTATTGTTTGACTACATTTAATTTTTTTTAATATTGGAAACTCTTTAAAAGCCTTTATATGGATCCTAATTGAAGATGTTTTACAGCAAACTAGGAAAGAACTTGCAAGTATCTCCAAAACTCAGCTAAGGTATAGGACAGAAGTAAGTAACTTCATTAGTGACTTTCTCACATTTTGTTCCAGTTTAATTTGAACTCAGTTACCAGAAATATTCCATCCTACACCACTTGAGGTTATTCTCATACTAGAATATTAAGGATGTCTTAGTTATTTGAATATTATACACATAAGAGTTATGCATCTGAAGCTGATGTTTTCATTTCCCCACGTTATTAGGCTAAAGCTTTCTCCTAAATCCTTTGAGGAGTAAAACTGTTGCATATTATAAAATGCTGCATTAGAACTTCTTTTTAAAGTTTGAAAATCAAGTTTAGGAAAACAATTAGGGGCACGGAAAAGAGCTCTAGACACTTTCTAATTAACTAATTAAATGCATTTTAAAAAATATCTGCACCTCTGCTCTAGATTATGTTAAATTATCCCCTCTAATAATACAAGACATTGAGTGCATATATGCAAACAAAATGGGGCCACACAAAAACAAGAGGTTACCTAGATGCACAGAAGCATGCGATTTTGTAAAATCAAGAGGACTTATACCTCCAAATGGCATACATTTTCATGACAGAGCAAATATTGAGGGCATACAGAAAAATAATAAGGTAGCTTTTCATATTATCTAGAGGGATAATTGTCTATCGCTGTGAACCCCGTGTCCTCCTATCTTTGAAACTACCTTTTGCTGCTTTTTTAAAATTAAGTAGGAGGAATAGAAAGGCTACTGCAGAGACACAGTTATACTAAAATCCCAGAATTCACCATTGTTTTCTTGGCCAGGTCTTGCTTCTTCTCAGGAAAATAAAATAAAATGAGTGTATGTGGGGGGGGGTGTGTGTAAATGAACAAAAGACATGCAGACGTGTAAGTCCATGAATTAAACCAAAGGCTAAGGGCAACTGAGCCAAGAAATGATGAAAGTGATGGGCGGGGAGGACAGACTTGGCCTGCTTAAGCTTTTATTTTAAGGAGGTATTAGGACTGAGGAAAGATGCACAGTGTGTGGTTAAAATAAGCTCCAAACAAGGACAAGGCTCCTGTTCTGATCTGGCAAGAGCCTTGAATGGGAACTTTTCTTTTTAGTGCCAGAGACAGACTGCAACGTTTTGTTATAGATCTAAATACTGAATTTAGTACTGCAACATAAAAACAAAGGTAGGTATACAGCTCTATAAGAAGAAATTCAAAATCCAGTTGGGCGATCCATTCAGGACCCACCGAAATTCCACAAGCTTGTGCCAGCTTTTGAGTTCTCCCCAATTCTTCAGCAGACTAGGCAGTATAAAAACAGGACACAAGGGAAGAAGCACTCTGAAATTTGGCCATATGTTATGGTTATAAGGTCTGCACTTTAGATACTTGTTCTGCACTGCCCCTTTTAAGGATTTTATCACACTTCATGTGTTCATCACCTTACCAGAACACTTAAGTTATCACTCACTGTTTACAAACTGTATACATATGCGGTGTGTATAAACCTGATTAGCTCCATAATATTCCATGTTTCCGATGAAGTAGGCCATTTTCTACAAAAACTTCTGTGATAATAACCGTGTTTGTCTGTAAAGTGCCACAAGCCATGTTGTTTTTGCTGCAGTAAACTAACACAGCTGCCCTCGGGAGACTCTGCTACCAAAGATTTCTCACCAAAATCACCATGAAAGCGCCACTAACTAAATATCATTAAACAATATTTGAGCACATGTGGAGTGGAAGTTTGTCCCCGATACCTATTAGGATAGCTGTTTAACCAAATGATATCCACTCATATCTTACCACAGAACAGTTTGTCCTAGACCTCTGTGCCAGCTTTGAATGGGCTTAATGCACATGAGGTTCCTGATGGCAATGACAGCAGCTGCATGAGAAGATGCCACAGCTTTAAAAAATTCTTTTATAGGGCAACCAACTGTCTTTTTTAATACTGTCACAAAGCAAACCAGAAGTATCATGAGAACAACTAAATGGTGATCAACTTTAACTTGGTATGAAGGATTTTAAAAAATTTAAGACCAGTATTTAATTTTATACCAGCTGTATATAAATTGTTATGCATAGGTTCACATTTTGCTTGGTGGGATTAAAAACAAGTGAATTTTGTTTTAAAATAGCTTTATTTCGAGGATGTCACTAATATGAAGACAATGTGTACTTGTAACTACTTGACTTCACAACAGCAGTACCTGCAACCCTCCCCCCTTTTTAAACTGGAACCTTCAGAATTTAACACACTTAGCCAACAAGTAAGTACAAGTTTCAAAGACAAGATACGCCTGAAAGATTGCTGTATAATTTCTACTTTTTTTGAAGTTCAAATAAATACAAAGATAAACCATGGGTATCACAATGTGAGCAAGCCTAGCCTAACTTTAAGCCCATATATCCCTTTGTCACTGTGATGAAACTGGAAGCTGTCAACTGCTAAGCCACAGTTGAATGTAACTACATTTTTTGAAACAAACCACCTTCACAATACATGGCTTGAAATAGGTTTGTTTAAAGCAAGCCATAGTTGGGATTAACCACTGATTGTCAGATGTCTGCAGTTATCATCATTAGGCTGGACCTGCACATGGTGGGCATGTCGTGAGCGGAGCCGGCTGGAGCTGGGGGTCAGACTAGATGGCCTGGGAGACCCCTTCTGACTCGCTCTGTTTCTGAGTTCCTATCATCAGTGTTTTCTCCTTGCAGCCACACTTTAACTATAAAGTATATACTTCGTGCCTATTTTATGCAAGTCTTCAACACACTAACAGAACTCCCTCTGGTAATAAATATCATGACATGTAAAAGCAACATACTTGAAGACAAGGAAGGTACAAATGAAGAAATTCAAGTTATCAAACAATGTATAACACCTGTCATCAGGGAATGAGCATCCAAGAAATAACTAAAAACTAAGAATAGGCAGTGAATTTCAGATAGTTCTTTCAATACATCAAAGTTGTATTATAGTGCAGTGACACACCTTGTCACACTATAGCCCTGAAGAAGCTACTATTACTGTAACCAAGCTGACAAGAGAAAATAGTTTTCACTGTAAAACTTTATAGCATAGCAAATTTTGTACAGACAATGGTAGTGTTGTCATCAAAAGGCTTTTTCTATTAACTATACTTTAGTAGTATAAATATCAATCTGCTTGAGTGTGAACCCATCTCCTAATCTTTCACTTCCTCCTGCACGACAATTCTTAATTTTAGGAGCTTTTCCTCACAAGATACTTATCAATGAGTGTTTTTCATTGTAAACGTAAGTTCTTAATTTAAGCAAACTTTTAAAATTTTTACATTACATTGAAGCTCATTAAATTGTGATAGTACAGGCAAGAATTTGTCTTTTAAAAATACCGGGTAATTTAAGGCACTTTCACTTAAGAAGTGACAAAACTTCCACTGGATGAATTTAACAGCCTTGCCAGCTTTGTCTATCAAACCTCACTTTGCTTGGGTGACAAAGAATCAAGCAGCAAGCCTGGGACACTTGTACAAACTGAAACAGAACTTGTTATTTAAATATCATAACACAGTCAAGGACTGACTCTACATCATCTTCCTTACAGGAAGGCCATGGGAAAAGGAAATGATCAATAATGAAAGCAATGGGGGAATTGTTCTCACTCAGTATCTTCAGACATCAAGCTTTCCAAGACAGAAGAGAACATATCTGTTGTAAAAGGAGCACTATGCATTAGTTAATTAGGCACCAAGTCTGTAACAATTTAAATAATGAGTTTAATAATGATCTGAATTCAGAGAGGAGCTGAAACTTCAAAGTGTATTAATCTAGTCTCTAGCTCAGCAGTCCCCAACCTGATGCTCTCCAGATGTTTCGTATATTAGCTACTGGCCTTCTTGACCATTGGTCATGCTGGTCTGGACCTATGGAAACTTAAGTCCAAAACTTCTGAAAAGCATCTGGTTGGAAAGGCTGTCTTCATTTTCTAATTTATATTTTAATTTCCATACATTTCTGAAGGAATCAGATGAGGAGGGGGGAACACCTTAGTAGCTCAGAACAGTTATTTTATATTGGCATGCTGGCAAATGGAACATGTTCCTTGTATCTTGCAATTCTAGCCTCTCCTGAAATGAGACCGGCTGCATCTCTAAGCTGATCAAAGAAGAGGACAGCACACTACTAAGTCTCAGAAAAGTGTGAGCACACATATATACTTACTATCTCAGACCGTCCATCCCGGCAAGCATTCTGAAACCTGGCCTGCCTTTCTTCATGAGGTCTGTCTCTGAAGCCAGTGTATTTAATCTACGAAGAACACAAGTCAAATCAAAAACTGAATCCTGTCTGTCTTGCAACACGAGTAAAGAGATAAGGACAAGTCTGCAGAGATCATGCACTGAAGCACAAACCAAGTACCCTACTTCCTGTTAAGGCTGAGCAGAAAGTCCTCCAAAGCAGATGCAACAAATATTAACATGGCACTACCTCTTAATTAAAGAGAAGTGTTTGTTAATATAGGTCAACATGATTTTGAAAGCCGCCTAATGATTTATAGCTTCTTACTTGATTAGCATGGTATACAGGTATTCAGGCAAGCTGTTTGTAGCCAATGAAATAGAACAGGCAAGGAAATGCTGGTTGTGGGCACAAAGAAGAAAATATATCAACATTGACCGTACAGGAGGCACAAAAGGGAGGTTTGCTCTTCTAAAATCCCATAATTTTATACCTGGAAGATGACAATGCCTCCATGAAAAACAGAAGTTCAACACCTCCAAAGGAAGAACAGAAGACAGAAAGGTTTCCAGACACCATGAATGTGTGGCAAACATACATGGTGGAGTTCAGGCATTAAATCTTCCCCAGTTAATCAGTGTTTAGTTTGACAAGATGACAGTAGGTGGTAGAGATTACAGACCTGGTAAATTTGTGCGTGCACATTATTGCTAAGAAACTAATGCAGATAAGCAGTACTTTTTCATGATGCATAACTGCAGCAGCACATGTACAGGACAAAAGAAAATGCATCATTCCACACAGAATCTACCATTGCGTTTTGGGATAGTGAGGAAGGAGCAGAAGGAAGCTTGAATTCAATAGCAGCAATTAGACTGTTGTGTAAAAACTGCTCCTTCCTAATATAGGCAGCTGAACTCCTGTGTTGATGGAATTAAGTAGCATGTGAAGCAATCAAGAGCCGGACACTGTGAACATATAATGAAAAAGGGGAAATAAGAGCTGCCACGTGTACTCCAAATTCAGGAAGCCTCAGGGGAAAACACATGCCCATAGGAAAGGTGGGACATAATTCACTAGATCACACCTTGAAAAGCACCCTAGGAGTGTAAATAAAGACCCTTCCAGGACTTTGTCATTATAAATGATGAAATTACACCGCTCTCAAATGGAACAGGTTCTAATCAGCACGGGACACAAAGCTGTCTTGTATATCCCGTACATAAGAACAAAAGGTCTGGCTGAGCTATGCTGACTAACCAATATGTATGACAGCAAGTACTGCTTGCTTGGCTCTTGCAAGGGACACATGCCCAACAGGGCTAGAGTTCCCTACTAGCTAAAACATGCATATATAAATGGAAGAGGTGCACTTTAGCCACCCTATTCACTTGAGAAAGTGCTGAAAGTAACACACACCTATGCGGGCAAACCCGTGTCACAAACACTAGAACCTGCGGTCATTCTATTTCACTTCCACTCCTTCTTTGGGGTAGAAGAGGCACAGCCTCCTGCGGTGAATGCTCAGCCCCAGTAAGGAATCATGACCGTGTGGAATTTCCCCTCACTTTCTAATGCATGCGGGGCTTCACATTTGCAAAATCGCTGTCTGTCTGGCGGCAAAGGAGCTGCTTACCACCTCCTCCATTCAGAACAAGGCTGTCCCTCCCAGCTCTTTCCAAGCATGTGCTTTATGGGTGGACGGCAACCCATATTAGCAACAGACTAAAGGATTAGAGGGCCATTATTCCAGAACTCGATTCGTTTCAGAGCAAAAGCAAAGTAGAGAATAGCTTAAAACTTATTTTTCCCTCCAGAGAAAAAACTTCCTTTTTCTGGCATGGGGCACGGAAGATAAAAAGTAAGGACAGTTCTGAGATGCCCTACGGAAGCCCTATGCGCGGAGAGGAAGGAAGAGAGACCCCGCCAAACAGACTAAAGCGATTCTTTACTCCAGAGTAAGCCCCCCTCTGCACTCCACGAGGCTTCCTCCTGGACCGCGAGACTCAGGATCGCGCTCCATCCCTGCAGCCACGAGCACCGCCGTCGGCGGGCTGCAACGCAGGGCGGCCCCGATCCTACCTCGCCGTGCCCGAGGCCATCCGGGTGGGACTCGGGGAGGCGCTGACTCTCCAGGAAGCTCAATCCCGCGCTGCAAAGCGCGCCGGCGGGGCTTCCGCGCGGGCGCGCGATCCTGCGAACGTCCGCGCAGGGGCGGGGGGCGGGAAGCGCGATCCGCTCCCCCCCCAGCGGGTCCGAGCTCTCCCGCCCCGGCCAAAGGGGGCAGCCTGCTTCCTCCGAGGAAGCCCTCGCCCGGCCCGGCCCGGCCCGGCCCCGGGACCTCTCTCTGGGTCCGGGGCTCCGCGCTTGCGGGGCGGCGGGCCCCGACGAGGCCCCCGGCGGCCTCACCTCGCACTCGCGGCTCAGCTTGCGGAAGAACTCCTC